GCCATCCCACCCCTATTTTTATCCCCTCCCCCAAAAAGTTGAGTTATAAACTTAAAGTTCAACACAAATGCAGGAGAAAACTTTTGTTTATTTCTCATGATATTTAGTTTCTAAATCTGCTTTGCTCTGACCTCGGTAAACACTTTCCCGCTGACTTTATGGGCATCGGTGATCATAAAATTGTAAATCTTGGTCATACTGTGTTTCAGGATGGAGGATTATCTGTAGTAGGAGTTTCTTCTTCACAGTTAGACCTGCCCTTTGTCACATTTGTTTCTTTGCAACTGATTTTTGCCTTTTTTAGGAGCCATTTTTCTGCATATCACTGTATCGTGATATCATTGTTATTGTGGGCGCTGTATCATGAAATCATGAGTTGTGATTTCCAACCATAATAAGAATTTAAGTCTAGCAATATGTCTACAGACATTACCCTAATAGCAGTATTGACCAAAGCTGTGGGGTTTCAGTGTTGTTGCTGCTGTAGTTCAACTGCACCCAGGAGGCTTCATCAAGCTCGTTCAGACACAGCACCAGAGAGCAAAGCAGCCCTCACTGGAAGGTGTTGGAGCACCGAAGGCACCGCTGGAGCTAAAGCTTAGGCTGTCAGAGTCACAGCCACTATTTTATACATCCTGCCAGAGAGTCACGCATGAATATGTATGTCGAGGAGGCAGAAGTCATAACCTATGCAAGGTTTCATCATGCATAATGCAGCTGATCTACGCCTCTCCAGGACGGGATGGGAGTATGCACAGGAGTGCATGCACACACGCACACACACACACACCTGACGTTCATAACTATATTGTAATGAAGGAGGAAAAGAAACTCTTAAAGTCCCATTCAGATGTGCCTGCAACCAACCACCAACATATTACATCCACAGGTTGCTTCTCTTCCTCTCCCTCTTTTTTCACCCATTTCCATCTTCCCATTCCTTCCCCAGTGCTACAATAATTTTCACAGCATTTTCATCTTTCATTAACTGGTATGGCACGTGCAGTAAAGGTCAAAAGCAGGATTTACATTTGCCATGGCATATGTCAAAACCCCTCTCCCGTCCTCTCCTCCAGTTCTTGCTATTTTGGAAACAGGTTCACTTCCAAGCAGACTGTGGCTACTACACCGACTACACTCCTTGCCTGCCACCTCTCCATCACTCATCCTGTTTTTGCGACAGAAAGTTGTGAGTTGTCTTTTGATAAGGGGGCAAAGGGAGTGCAAATGTGTGTGGAAACAAAGCGGCACATGATGCACTAGAAGAAGACACACTGGCACAAGAGGTGTGAATTGAATATTGGTGAGATATGGGGGGGATAAAGATAGGTGTAAGCTTAAGGATAATTCTCAAGGGTCTGGCATAAGTAGGTGGCTGGTGGGTGGAGAAGTGTGCGTGTGTGTGTGCGTGTGTGTGTGTGGGGTGGGGGGGTGGGGGGGGGGGTTGTTGAGGTTACATCTAATCAACGAAGGGGTATCGCTGTTCCCCACCCACTGTCTTTCTGTACACCCTGTCCCCAACAATATGCTCCCCACTGCACCCACCCCCACCACCAACCACCCCCGAGTGTGCTGTGTCAGTAAAAAAAAAGTGTGCTACTTCAGCAGTCCCCTGGGACCTGCTCCCCCTCACATCAAAGCAGCCAGTTTCTCTCTTAATGTGAATATCAAATCTGTGGATCACAAGTCCCAGCACAGTCTGCATAAACTGCCCCTCCCCCAACCTTTAATTCTGCCTAGTGATGAGGGAGAAGAGAGGGAGGGGAGTTACTGCGAGAGGAAGCGATTGAGGGAGGGAGAGACGGAGAGAGAGAGAGAGTGAGAGAGATGGAGGTAGAGAGAGGGAGATCCAACAAAAACAACTACTTGCTTCAGAGATTTGACATTTGCTGAACACTCCCTCCTTCTAAAAATGTGCAGCGCCGGCATCCAATAAAATTTGGAGGAGGTCTGGATCTGTTTGGCACTGTGTTTGGTGCTGTTACACAGAGTTCTTGTTGGGAACAAAAAATAAAAAAATAAACAAATTTCTTACTGTAATTGATATTTGTTTGCACCCTGTTTCTCTTGTTTTCATTGATGACTTCTTATTTATAAACTCATTTGCATGTATAATAGATTTCAGGGCGAATGGGAGAGCAGGATGACAGTGACAGAGCTGTGACGTCCTATTGGTGAGCTGGGAAGTGCAATAACCCCCTTTTTTTTTGCTGCCGAACACCAGCAGTTTCCCCACCATTTGGCAACGAATTTCTGCAGAAATGTTTTCTTTGTTAAATCGTCAATGATACGTCGGCTTTGTGTTGCTAAATAAAGTCTGATCAGTTATCATTAAACTCTTGTATTTTCATTTTTTTAAATATATTTTTCCTAGAAATTTCTATATTCATATTTCAGCTGTGAAACATTTCATTTAGTTTGAAATAAATAAGTCAGAATTTGGGTATTTTTACTGTTCAAAAGGGCAAAGTCACTCGGAAAGCTCTTCACTTTTCCTTTAACCTCTTTAAGTTTTAATTTTACATTCTTAAATGTGAAATTAAATGATGCCAGGCTTGATCTGGTTAAAAAAGGGCAAATAAAATGGAGGCCTGGGTCCTTCCTGAGTGATGATTGGCACCCCTGTGGACCACGCATCTCTGTCATTGAGTGGTGCATAAAGCTCAGATTGCAGCTTTAATTGTGTAGCCCTGCAAAGAAGCATAGGGAATTGGGCTGGGAAGGGAAAAGGGGGGATTTTTTTCACATTTCTATTGGCAAGGGGGATGAGCAACGGAGAACGCATGGAGCAGGTTCACCTTAGCGCTTTACACACCTCCAATTAAAATTTTGGGATATATCATTCACATGCTATACATAAATTTTGCCATTTTAATTAATTAGATTTCATATTAAAATTCAAAACAGGCCTACAGCAGGCCTTACACATGAAACTTGATTTTATAACCTGCTAATTAATCCACAGTTACACTGAATACGGTCTGTGGCTATAATTCATTAGCAGCAAAATGAAAATACCTAATTTCACTTTAAAACCACCAGTTAGCGCTATAAATAAATCCTCGTTTAATTGCAAATAATGCTAATTGTAATGTATGTATGTGCTTTTCTTTGAACATTTATTACTTACCCTACGTCCTGCCTGTCTCCTAAACCCTCCGACATGATTTAGTACCCTTTAAAAACATTATTCGTGTATAAATTGTGTCGTAAAGAACCTTACATTTAAAACAAATAAGTAAAATAACTTCGAGTTTCAGGAAAATTCAAAACACAAGCTAACAACCAAACCAAGAGGGACGTCCCAGTCACTTGCCCTCCTCCACGCGCCCGCCAACACAAACACACAAACAAGAACCCGGGGCGCACGCGCTGGCACACGCGCGAACACTACCGCGGGGTCCAGGTGCGCTATTAGCGAGGAACATGACCGGGCAAGTCTATAATCTGCACCCACGCCCCTGGAGTTTCTCATTTGGTGAAATAAATTTGCGCATATATTAATACGATTCCACAGAAGCCAGCGAGGCAATGAAGTGACAGCTTTCAAACTGAATAATTTATTTGTATGAATAATCAAAATTAAATCTGAATA